GACCCTGTGAACAGAGCTGTTTTTGACAAGGTAAAAAGGGTGTTGTTTTACACTACCATTAAGAAATTTTAACCAAAGTATGCTGTAGACTTTTCATGAAGACCCTAAAGAATCATACCAACTTGTGCAAATGGGCATCTGATGTCCTCTTTAAGAAGTACTAAAACATTTTTTTTAGTATATTAAGTGCAAAATTAATGTGTGAAAATAGAGCATTTTAAGTACATTATGAAAGTGTTTTTTTTTTTTTCTCCTGGGCACTTTGGGCTGGGACGATGTGTTCTTTCTGGAGGAGGCAGAGAGATGGCTGCTGGAGGTGTCAAAGTCCTGGAAAGTTGGAGTTAATAGTGGAGTCATTCTCAATGACCCACACGGTGAGGGATAATAAGCACATCCACAAGATATAGTTGATGAACTCAACGAAGGGAAAATAATCCTTCCTCAACAGCAGCATCTGTCCAACAATGCCATCCATCCCGCTCCAGAAGAGCCGTTTCAAAGTCTCATTGTCCCAGCGTGCCTCATGGTAATACTCCAGGAACTCCTCCACATAATCCTCCAGTGACCGGCTGTTGTGTCAAAAACAGTCCTTAAAATACTCATTGGGTTGGGTAAGTTCTTCTGTCACATGTATGGTGGCCGACACAATATACATGATGCAGAATTTTAAACAAAGATACTTTAATAAACAGTAAGAGAATTTAACCAAGAGAATACACAAAGAATAATCACAGTAACTCACAACATAAACATGAACCAGGCTTTGATAGACAGAACTAATGAGAGACAGCTGTTGACAATCAGTGATGAAACCAGGCAGAGGATAATGGGAAATTAAGTCCAAGACTGAGTGACAAAGGTATGGGATGGAGTGGTGATCGTGACAGTAACCAAGGCAACAAACAAGGAGAATAGGAACTAAACTGAAATGTAGTGGTGACCTGATCGACTCTGAGCCTTCCCAGCAGCTTCTCTACAGTCACATTTTCACTCACACTGGTCAAAAATGTGAGTGAGAAAATCGTAAAACAGGAAGTACTCTTTCTGAAGTCCACTCAAAGGTCAAAATTAATGTTAAGGATATAAATCTGTTATAAATAAATGTTCTAAATTGTTATTAAATCTGATATAATCCCATAATTATTCATTATTCACAGCTGATTCATTTCTTTTCACATCAGCAGCCAATTAACTTGCTGTTCAACATTTAAATACTTGGATAGTGCTGCTGTAGCAGTTGCAGCATGCTTCAGAAAGCATCTGAAATCAACATCTAAGATAAGTGAACACTCTTAGTCCATTTCACTTTGCATATTGTATGGTCTGCCTTTATTTCTAAATGAGCAACCATAAGCAATCATTAAATTAAGTGTCATGTTTAACAATCTTGCATTTGTATGCAGGAGTGAAATACTAAGCAGTAGCATCTTCGCAACTGTGTTTATACAGCTGCAGCAATAAGCAGTCTAGCATATATAATTGTGAGGACACGCTGACAAGTTACGGACATGAGAACAGTATAACAGCCCATAGTTCTGTTACTATGGATTATAGTAGTTTGTAGTTCTACTTCCATTTTCTAGGGGCTCTAAGCTGTTCTCCTCCTCTAACTTAAAGTCATGTGAAGTAGTAGAGGAAGATACATTTTTTTGGATCATGAGTCATCAGAATAGTATGCACCGCCAGATTTTTGTAACCGTGCATACTTTGTATGCACATTTATTTATTTATTTTTTTTTTTTTTTTTTGCAGTAATTAGATTATCCACAAGGTGGCAACCCTGCCCTGGGGGTGTCGATTCACAAGGTGGTCGAAGAAAAAAATGGAGCTTGAGTGATTAAATGGAATTCAAGCGTAGTTCAGGCAGACCACTAATTGCCACCTGCTCAGCTGATCAATTACTCCACCTGCTCCAAATCATCAACTGCATTTAAGACCGGTCAAACGCATGCTCTTCGGTCACAAACATTTGCACTTCGTCATGTGACTAATAAAAATAAATTTTCTTACCTTTCTTTCCATGGCAATGGCTTGTTCTGAGACTGAAGAACAGGCCATCTTCTCCGCAGATATGTCAGAGTAAACTCAATCCAACCACATTGACCTCCAAGACGAAGCTCCAGATTAGCTTCATATCTATCTTCGACTGGCCTCGAGAGAAAATTCTGACTGCACAATATAAAATGAATATCCAGACTCCACCACATTCCAGCCACAAGGACCTCTTCTGAATCTTCATAGAAACTGCTCAGGAACAAGAGAGCATTCCACAATCAGAAGCCTTCACTCCACGGCCTTCCGGATGGAAAGCTACTCAAAAAATGAAGCATTCATCAGTCGAGCATCTCTCTCCGTGCACCTCCAAACAAACAAAGTCTTCAGCATCTCATCTGCAGCCTCAGCCTTAGGACCCAATCCTCTCAGCCTTGTCCTCAATTCAAAACGCTATATCTAACATGGATGGAAGACTACAAGCCCTCGAAAACCAGCAACAGGCCACTACTTTATCTTCTATCCCAGACGCTTCATCCACAGGCGACGCTTGCCAGTACATCCCAAACAAACAAAAACCTAAACTTCCTGCCCAGGAGAACCCTCACTTCCGCCGTTCCAACAGCTTCACCTGGAGTACCGTTTTTTTCCACCAGCTGCAGCAATCTCTCCTCAGTTGAAGGCCCAAATCCTGGCAGGCAATGACTTTTTAATTTAGTAAAGATCTTGTTAGTAGATCTAGTCTAGCGATAAATGAGTAGTAGACTGTGGTGATGTATCTGTTGTACTAAAAGAAAGTGACCCCAGACTCTTGGTTAAGAGCTTAACCATGGCTGAATTTAACATCACCGTTAGGAATGTATTTTTTTAGGAATGTTATTTGTGAAATTCAAGCAGAAAGGAGGCAAGAACTGGACACTTACCTCTCTATCATTTCAGACCTAGCCATGTCTTATGGTGGCACGCTGTTTTATGAATATCACAAGTCTTTCTCTGCCAGAGCTGCTATGTTTATTCAGCGTTTTAACCAGAGACTGAACTAGTCAGCTTTTACTCCTCCCCTCTGTTTTCTTTATAATGAGAACGTTTGTAATTGCTCTAACTGTAGATTTCTTCATGTTTGCAGCTATTGTACGACTGGATGCAGCGGTACGACTGGATTTGCAGCTATTGTACAACAGAATGCAGCGGTACGACTGGTCTTCAACGAGCCCAAAAGAGCCCATGTTACACCTCTCTTTATCTCCTTGCACTGGCTACCGGTTGCGGCTCGAATCAAGTTCAAGACATTGATGCTTGCATATAGAACAGCCACAGTCTCAGCACCCGCCTACTTCCACTCACTACTACGAATCTACATCCCCTCCAGAAGTCTGAGATCCGCTAGTGAGCGACGCCTCGTGGTACCATCACAGAGAGGCTCAAAATCACTTTCCAGAACATTCTCGTTCACCGTTCCTGGCTGGTGGAACGATCTTCCCACCCCTATCCGGAATGCTGAATCCCTGACAATTTTCAAGCGACAGCTGAAAACCCATCTCTTTCGAAGCTACTTGACTTCATCATAAAAAAAAAAATAAAAAAATTATTTTATTTTTATTATTATATTATATTATATTAGTCGCTTTGGATAAAAGCGTCTGCTAAATGACTAAATGTAAATGTAAATGTATTGTGGTGACATTCACCCAAAGAGTGTTTGCCCTCAAAGAGAAAATAAAGGCTGTGCCATCTACTCCTATCAACACAAGTGAACTCAAGAAAGCTTTAAAAAACCATCCAAACTGGTGTTTTGTGAATTACCTGCTAATTGATCTGCTGAAGGTTTTTTTCGCCGGCTTAGCGTCCTTCAGTCTGCTATAAAAGAGCCTGACATCGTAGATAGTCTATTAGCTAAGGAAGCAGACAAAGGGTACATGATCGGCCCCTTTCACAAACCCCCTTTTAATGTTTTTCGCATTAACCCTATTGGTATAGCAACACGGAAATATTTAGGTAAAAATTATCTATCTTTCTTCCCCCCCCCCCATTCTAATCATGGAGTTAAAAGCATCAATAGCTTAATTCCATCTGAGCCTTTTTCTTTATACTACACCACTATCGATCATGCTATTCAATTCATTAAAATTGCCAGCGGAGGGGCTTGGTTAAGTAAAGCAGATGTAACCAATGCATTTAAAATTATGCTTCTCCACCCATCCCAGTGGCACCTTTTTTGGCGTTAGATGGCGCAATAACATGTATTTCACAGTTAGACTCACCTTTGGTTGCAAAAGTATCATGCACATCTTTAAATCTTTATCAGAAACATTGTGTTAGATTGTATCCAATAATTGTGAACTGCTGGATGATATCTTAGTGATCGTGGGACACTGCCACATAACGGACATGTTTTAACTGCTCTGCATGTATCAGAGTTTTAAAGGTTTACATGTTTCCCTGTTCATTTTAACTGAAAATTGAGTGTTTACTGTTGTCCTTTTGCATTGACACACTATTTTCCTATTTGATACTGTAAAGCTGCTTTGACACAATTTGTTTTGTTAAAAGCGCTATACAAATAAAGGTGACTTGACATGAAAAGACGTGTTTCAAAGTAGACTACTTTAAAATCTGAATTTATGAAAATGTAAATGAGACTCCCAAACTGAACTTAGTAAAGCAGAGTAAGATACATCTGGATCCAGTTAGTTTGTCATATGAACCAGCTGTTATCTTTTGGGAGCTTTTACATTCCATTCCTTTCTTTCTAACAGTTGCCTTAACATCAACTCTCTCACCAATCCGCATGTTTCTTTCTTGTCAAAACATTCTACATTTTTTTAATTGAGTTGAGGAATGCCTTACAGCACTGAGACGTGCTTTACAGTTCTGCTCTGCTCTTTCTTTCTCTTCATGAAGTTGACCATTGTTTCTGTTTTCTGAGCATTTGGCTCAGATTTGACCTCTTTTCCCAAACATCCTGTAGTGGCCGCCCAGTCCTTCCCTCCCACTGTTTGCTTCTCATGTTTCTCTTTTCTGTGCAGTTGCACAACTGCGTTGTTTTCATCTTGGTGATTCTGTCACAGACACATGCAGGTATTTGATAAGCTTTCATACTGATCTTTTAAGCACTGTTTGATTATTTCCTTGCCCATGAATTGTATGATTGTCCCAGTTACAGTTTGCTGAAGTGTAGACTTCTTTTTGAATGAATGTGAAGAATGGCTTGGAATTGACTGGAAGACAGAAAAAAAGGCTTTGAGATTGGATGCAGTACACAGTCTTGAGGTTTGAAGGTTTTAAGCATTACAATACTTTTTGCAGCATTAATGACAGACAGATTAGGTGTCCTAGTTGATTCCTAATCGGTTGCTAGTGTGTTGTTTGGTAGTGTGTTCAGGGTGGTTAAAGCATTGGTAGGCAGGCAGACAATTGCTATGGTGTTATAGGTGGTTACTGGGGCATTAGGGCAAGAGGTAGAGTATAGCTGACTAAGGCAGAAGAATAGGTTTGTCAGGTTATTTTACACAAATTTACAGAGTCAAAACTTGAGACCCTTGAAATTTCAGGACTCCACATTTTTATAGCCACATTTTCAGGAACCGTGTGCTGTTAGCAGAAAGACACTGGACAAGTACTTGTTTGTGATGCTATACATTCACTCCGCATCCCAGCGTCAAAACATACCTAACCAGCATATGCTGTTTTTTTCAACAGGGTTGTGTGTCCAGTGTGTGCCGAATTCACTGAAACAGAGACATGAGTTGTGTGTCATTTGAAGGTTTTGGATCCAGTCTGTTCAGTCTTCCACAGGAGAAGTTTAAATAGTTTAAAAAGTTTAAATAGTGTCAGCTTCACTCCTTTTTCCAGGCTAATAGCATATTACCATTATTATCTGAAATTTGCCATTTATCCATTGTCCGGTCATGTCTTTAGACTACCCATTCTAGAAAACACTGCCCAAAGCCTTGAACAAAACTGTAATTATAATAGCTTTGACTGTGATTTGTGCTGTAGTGATGGTGGAGGATCGAGCAGCTAGCGTATCAGAGGCCATCACCACCGTGACGGGCGGAAGTAAACCTGTGCACCGCTTCCTCAGAGGACAACCCAAGAGTATCGGAGTGAGACACAGAACACGCCTCCTCATCGCCCAGTCCTTTCAATCACAGAAACCAAGTTTAGCAAAGATCACTCCGGCTTATTCTTTGCAGTACTACACTCTTCTATAATAGGCATGTAGTTTGATGCTGATGCCATGCAGGGGAAACCAAGGCTAGTTTTCACACTTTTACTTGAGTGAATGTGTCTCAGAGGACGTTTAGTTTTCATAGTCACTTTCTGAATAGGTATATGCATCCCCACACACATCGCTTTAACACTTATACAGGGAGAATAAAGGTAGAGCTTCTTATTCTGGTCATTCGAAGACAAGAAAAAGTAAGAAAAACAAGCATTTGTGTATTTGTACTTTTGACTCAAAACTTCATGGATATCAGAGAGCGTGTAACAAACAGCCGGTTTTCACTAGGTGTCTCTGCCTAACTGTATTTGTCCATTGGTGTTTCCCTCTCCCCATTAAGATTACGTAAGCAATATTGTTGATATTGCATATTGATTATTATTGATTTTATGTTTGTCCATTTTCATATATCTTGTGTAAGGTTGTGCTGGTGATGATGGGTATAGGTCTATTCATGTTTGCAATTCCTATGAATGTGCAATCAGATGCACCCATCTCAGCGGATCAGCTCACCCCATTCTGGCTTGGGGTCTTGGTATGTTGATTTGCACATCTCTTTTGACTATAGTTGCATGTTTTGCCTTGAAAGGTATTTAAGATCTTTAAAGACTTTAAAGAAAACTTCTAAGCCACAATCCATTGATCTACACCTCTATCCTTGAAATCACTGAAAAAACAAAGAATGCATGAAAAATGCATTGTGTCAGTAACCAAATAATTGTTAACTCAATTAACAGTATAATTATAACACTGAACTGAGCAGCAGAATTTGGATTCGGACGTGCCTTGATGCCTTCCTGCCTTGGAATGCTGCCTCCGAAGGCAGCATTTTAGAGCTTTCGGACGCAGCCTGTGTAGAGCTGTGGCCCTCCAGGAATTGAGTTTGAGACCAATGAGTTAAAGCAATAGGCCACATGAAGCTGTGGTTTACAGTGAATTTAGCTAACGTTGTGAAGTGCCTAACAACGCCCCTCAGCTGTTCTAAATTCACTGTAAACCACGGCTTCACAGGGTTTATTGCTTTTGTAAAACGGTTACCACACAATACATATATTAAAAGCAAATTATATGTTACTTTATTAAGCTTAAATCATGAAATGCCATCCTTCCACTGGAAAAATAGTCCCTGACGGTGACCGTAAACGGCAATAGAATGGTCATATAACATGCCGCATCTGATGGATACTGCAAAATTTTATTTTCGTTATTTTTACTAAATGTATACTAAATGTCTTGGCTTTTTGCAGTTCTCTATCTGTGGCCTTCTATATATACTGTCTGAGCGCAACCCCTCCAAAAAGATGGTAAGTGTCTGTTTAGCCATTGTGTTTCACTGTGTGTGAGCTACTCGTGAACAATTTTGAGAATTCTTGTGTCCTAACTACAACATTTTCTCTGTAGAATGTTTAAATGTGTTTGATATATTGTTTATGTGTTTGTGTCTCGATTTGATTGCTCACAGATCACAGCCAGCCTTGCTCTGAGTATCATCTCAGTCATTGGAGTGCTGTCTGCTTTGGTGGAATTCTCCAGAGCAATTGCTGGAATCTATCGCACACATTGGGTTACTATGTATGAGAATCACACAGAGGAGGAGGAAATTTATGCTGAACAACATTATGTGAGGGTTCTTATTCTTATTATTAAATGAAAAACATGGTTATGAGGAATACAAATAAAGAAAATATGGGTGATGTATTTTCAACCAGTGAGATATTATGCATGTGCAGGTTTAATAGATTCAAAATATGTGCCTATACAAACAGATACTCTCATTTCGTTTTCACAGATGCCCATGAAAAACATGGAGCTAGTGTTCTTCTGTCACAGCTTGATAGGAGGCGTTCTGCTTGTAGTTATGACGTTCTTCGCCAGGGCAGCGCTGCGATCCAGCAGGACTCAGGTAATCTCATCTCACACAGCCTTCCTCCTGTGAAAGCACCACAGGCTCTCTGGTTGGGCTGGAGGTCTTTTCTGATTGGGTTATTATAGCAGGAGAAAAAGGAAGTCATGCTAAATTCAAATAACGAAAATTAACAATATTGTGCATTTAATATTTTAACGTTCATTCAAAGATTGTGTTAACATGTCAAATGTAAAGTGTATACCAACATTCATTTCATTTATAATACAATATATGACTCTAGAATGCTTGAATCATAGCATTCATCGCTTAAATATGTCTGGGGGAAACCTTTGTTTCCTACATAGTTGTGCTCATGTTCTGTCGCTCTTTGGTTTCTACAAGTAAGCTAACAAAATAATTTAAAGGCAAATCGGTATGTCATGATTTATTTTAGTTTTTTTTTTTAGTAAGTCATGTAACGAGTAAGATAATGTATCCCTGATCACCCTGTTGGATTTATTTTGCGATCATGACTGGTTGACTGTAAATGTTCCTCATTTGTAATAGTGAAGGCAGAATGTTCATGGATGATTTCCTCGTCTCCGCAGGCTGTTGTTGTAATGCGGGAACTGCCGTCAGCAGAGTGAACGAACCAAAATCATCTGAACATTGTGTATGTGAAGAGGAGCTGACAGCACATCTGTGGCAGCACATTATAATATTTCACTAATAATCAACTGTGTAAACTGATCTTTAAAACGGCATATATACAGTACATGATATGCTAACAAAAGTGTTTTGTACTGAACCCTAAAATAAAAACAGCATTCAGAGCGTAGGGACATTTATTATTTGTACACTTATCTTTGAGCTAGCTTTATTATTTTATTATTACTGTGCATTAATACTTTTGTCAATGATGGTTATACTACTATAATACTTTATGGCAATCCTTTTTGTAATAAATATTCTTTACAATGCAGGCATAAGCACATCTCAAATTTCTGCTAAAGAGTGCTTCATCTGGAAAGCATCTATGTACAAACATCTGATAAACATCTAAAATCATTAACACTTTCTAAACTTCTGACACAAAACGTTTTAGACACATTGCAAACACTGTAAATACTCTATCTTCTAGATGAAAACCCTCATATAAAAGAGACGTCTGTGAGATGAATGTGTGATGTTTGAGTTTATTTCTAAACCGATTATCATACTGGTAGTCTTTATTATTTCAGAAATCCCTGAACTTAATCTCTGCTAAATAATACTATCTAGTAACACTGTAACAGAAATAATTAAATCTAAAGATTTACTAATGTTACTAAAATAAACATAACTGTGTGTTAAAACTGTCAGACTCTGTTCCGTGTTTTGTGTTTTGCTCCCCACGTTCCATGACCCAGTTTTCCCTCATGTGCAATTATTGTTTCATTAGTTTCAGGTGTGTCTCATCATCCCATCCTCTAGTCTTAGTGTATTTATAGTGTTTTCTGTTTTGAGTTCTCTGTACGGTACTGTATATGTCAACCTCTCCTGCTACGTGTGTTTTCCTGGTTCCCTGGATATAATTAAAGTCTCCTTGTTGATGTACTCCTTGTCTCCTCGTTCCTCGCTCCATGCTCCCTCACAGTAGCAACAACGTGACAGAATACCGGACCCACAAACAGTAAGCGGCGCCCCTTCTCCCCGTGTTTTTGTTTTCCTTTTGAAAAGTCTTTTGTTTTCCCTTGTTTTCTTCCCGCGGCATGGAAATAGCCGCTCGCTTCTCCACCCTAGCTCGCAGAGATCTCCCCTTTGTGGAGTATGCGTGGGAGTTCTGCGGGATCGCTGCGAAAACAGCGCCGGACGACGCCACGCTAAACTCTCTTTTCAGGATCGGGGCCAATTGTTATCGCCCCGTGGACCTCCCAGACACCACAGGACTTAGCTGGAGGGAAAGGATCCTTCAGTTTCTGGAGAGCATCCAGCCCTGATCCAGAACCAGCCCGTTGTCAAGCCCGCCGGCCGCTCCAGTGTCAAGTCTGCCGACCACGCCCCCAGAGCCCGCTCCAGTGTGGGTTCCAGCCCCCGAGTTTAGCCCAGAGAGGGCTCCAGTCCACAAGTTTAGCCCATAGAGGGCACCTGTCCCCGAGTTTAGCCCACAGAGGTCTCCTGTTCCCAAGTTTAGCCCAGAGAGGGCTCCAAGTTCAGCCCACAGAGGGCTCCTGTCCCCGAGTTTAGCCCACAGAGGGCTCCTGTCCCCGAGTTTAGCCCAGAGAAGGTTCCTGTCCCCGAGTTTAGCTCAGAGAAGGTTCCTGTCCCTGAGTTTAGCTCAGAGAGGGCTCCGGTCCCAGAGTTTAGCCCAGAGAGGGCTCCTGTCCCCGAGATTAGCCCAGAGAAGGTTCCTGTCCCCGAGTTTAGCCCAGAGAGGGCTCCGGTCCCCGAGTTTAGCCCAGAGAGGGTTCCTGTCCCCGAGTTTAGCCCAGAGAGGGCTCCAGTCCCCGAATTTAGCCCAAGGAGGGCTCCTGTTCCTGAGTTTAGCCCAAAGAGGGCTCCTGTCCCCGAGCCCCGAGTTTAGCCCACAGAGGGCTCCAGTCCCCGAGTTTAGCCCAGAGAGGGCTCCTGTGCCCGAGTTTAGCCCAGAGAGGGCTCCAGTCTTTTTGCTCGTATGTGATTCATATGTATCAAGAGTCCTGGTGAAGTTATGAAGATGTGGTATAGACTATCATTCAAAAAATTAAGAGATGATCATTTTGATACGAAACTTGACACCAATAAGGTTACATGAACTTATAATTCAATCATAAAGCATGCATAAAACAGTATATAATACAAAAGACAATATACAACACAGTAATAATACACACCATGTCCTGGGATCTGCTTGTTCATTCATAGAAAGGTTTGTCTATGAATTAATGAAAGAAGTCCTTTTCTATGGCCAGTATGTGTCTGTTTCAATAGGGAATTAAGTGAGAGTAAAATTCTCCCTAATTTTCTTTAGGTTGTAAAACTGGTCTTATCTTGTAATAAAACCCAGAGAGGACTCCGTTTCCCCGAGTATAGACCAGAGAGGGCTCCGGTCCCCGAGTTTGGCCCACAGAGGGCTCCTGTTCCCGAGTTTAGCCCAGAGAGGGCTCCAGTCCCCGAATTTAGCCCAAGGAGGGCTCCTGTTCCTGAGTTTAGCCCAAAGAGGGCTCCTGTCCCCGAGCCCCGAGTTTAGCCCACAGAGGGCTCCTGTTCCCGAGTTTAGCCCAGAGAGGGCTCCTGTCCCCGAGTTTAGCCCAGAGAGGGCTCCTGTCCCCGAGTTTAGCCCAGAGAGGGCTCCTGTCCCCGAGTTTAGCCCAGAGAGGGCTCCTGTCCCCGAGTTTAGCCCAGAGAGGGCTCCAGTCTTTTTGCTCGTATGTGATTCATATGTATCAAGAGTCCTGGCGAAGTTATGAAGATGTGGTATAGACTATCATTCAAAAAATTAAGACACGATCATTTTGATACGAAATTTGACACCAATAAGGTTACATGAACTAATTATTCAATCATAAAGCATGCATAAAACAGTATATAATACACACCATGTCCTGGGATCTGCTTGTTCATTCATAGAAAGGTTTGTCTATGAATTAATGAAAGAAGTCCTTTTCTATGGCCAGTATGTGTCTGTTTCAATAGGGAATTAAGTGAGAGTAAAACTCTCCCTAATTTTCTTTAGGTTGTAAAACTGGACTTATCTTGTAATGTGTCCTTGCTGCTATGTTAACCAGTGTCCTGTTCTGCCTCTGGGTGTTAGTTGTGGCTTAGGGGGTCATTCACAGACACCCCGGCATCCAGTCCAGTTGTTGGGTGAGGGGTCTGTTGGATCATTTGTTAAAACAAAACCTTTACAATTATGTTTGTAGCAAACTTTAAAACAAATTTGATATTGGAATGTGTTTTATTTATTCAGTCTTGAATGAATGGATGTTAAATGAATCTTCATCATTCTTCGAAGGCTGACTGTTTGTGTTTCAGAGCTGTCCATCGAGAGATGGGTCTCACTGATAAATTCAACCCAGAGAGGCCCGGGAAAAAGTGGCAAAACCTAAAATACACGAAAGGTTTGCCTTGAATTAGTCCCAAAACATAATTCATCCAGTGGCTTTATAATAAAATTAAAAAAGCTTTCTAAAATTATTGAGTATGACTCATGAACTTTAATAATTGTTAAATGTCTTAAATGTCTTTTGTGCATGCTGGTACTTAAAGATGTGCCGTGAATATCAAAAGTATATCATATTTATACAATATACCCACACAATTATTACACTTTTATAGTGCTTTTATAGTATAGGTTTGACCTGTTGCATGAAGTAATTCAGCCTTCCCTTCTGATTACCTCAGCTGCATCCACTGCGTCCAGCTCCACGGACCAGCTTGAAAGAGGTGACAGCGAGGCTATGCCCTTGCCAGCAAAAATACAGTGTAGGAATTCAGTTTTGGAGTTCCTGGAAAAAGAGGAGGCCAAAGAGAGAAGACCAGATCACATGACATTGTAAATGTCATCTCTGTCAGGTGCAGAGGCTGCTGCAGCAAGGTGCTCTCTAATATGTTCTCCGCCCTTAGGGTCTTAGCTTTGTAGCAGAGCGTCGTTGTTGTCATCTGGCCAAGTGCTGCCTCAACTGGCTCAACAGTGTCACCAGTGGAGAGGCAGATTTTATGAAGAATTGCACAGCAAGTAATCACAGTAGGGGCTAAATTTGGCTTCACCTTCAGCTCTGCCACCTTGATTTCATGATCCTAAAAGACCTGATGCTTCATGTCTCTGAATGGTGGTGGTTGAATCCAGCTTATGTTGGACTTGTGACAGGCTCCCTGTATGGAGTTATTAGGGAGACTGGCTGAGATATACCTGGATACCCACCATCCCCAACTCTTGAGTCATGACCTGACCCTGGGTAGCCTACAAAGATGTCTAAAAGCTTGCCTTTATGGTCACAAATTGCTTGGAGCTGACAGTTTGTGGTTGAGGTGGCACTGAGCATCTGTACTAGGTAACTCATTTGGCAGCCATCAATGCTACCTACGGATTAAAAGCTGCCGATCATGCGAGGTGTGCAAATCCTGATTCTTCAAATCCTATCCTGGACGTGATTCAAAATCATGGAGCAGGTGTGCATCATACTAATCTACTAATGCTAAACATGAATGTACGAATTTGACAGACATTTGACATTAAATAACGTTAGAAGAAATGGCCTTACCAAGGTTTAAAAAAGAAAGAAAAAAAGCCCTTGTAAATACAAATACTAACCTGTAATGGGAAAGTTAATTTTTGTCATTGATAGGAGTGCAAGTGCACACACACATAGAGCCCTGTATCATGTAAAATGCAAATCTTCATGAATACTCACAAATGTACTATATTTGTGATTTACATCTGATTTATCCATGTATAGTTTATGTTGGGAATCAATAGAAAGTAAATGCAGTTACCTTCACATATAAAACACAGAGATTTTTTTTCTTACCCAGATTTAACACTGCTGGTGTCACGAATACAACAGACATAAGCCAGTGTTTTACTGCCCAGAAAATACAGGCAAATTGAGGAGAAGTTCAAAAAACTACTTTAAGGCATTCATGGTACTATTTCCCACATAAAGCTGAACATTGTATGAATTGTAACATTTAAAGTGTGATGGTCATGATGTTTAAGGATGCAGAGGGAGCAATATCAGGTGTTGGAGAAACCTGATTGCACTGAGGTGAAGGAGGAGATGTATGATGAATATCAGTTATGAGTGCTGTACTTGATCAACTGCAATGAGACACAACAGTCATACCCTAGCCTTTCTTCTGGTAGAGAGAAGTTGGTATTGGGCATGTCACATTGCAATGCTGTAATTTTTCCACTGAAGTATTTAGGGGTATAGAAAGGGAGACACAGTGAAGTCCAGCAGGTCAGAAATGATAGCTGATTTGGAGTTGAGCAAGAAACAGGCATTTAGTCATAATTCTTGGTGTTCGAGGACCCCTCCTGTGGTTATTTATGGTACTGCACACATTGCAGAGATTTGTGTCGCTGCTGCAGGTATGTATGGTTATTTTCCAGATTCTATCTACATAGCTTTGAGAGGGAGTTTGGAGGATGGCTTTGATGAGAACTTTCTGTACCAAAACCTCATTGGTGTTGCTGCTGATGGTGCGTCAGCTCGAACAAAGCTGAAGAAGATTTTACATTGTCTAGCTGACCGACACGATTCATTGAAAACTGTGTCTGGCTGCAGTTAA